GCAAAAATATAACAGATCCTCCATGCTCGCTAAGTTTTATTAAATTTTTTTTTATAACTCATATTAGTTATACTTTATACATATCTAATTTTTCATCATTGTACGAGTTCATACTCTAAGTTCTTCCTTAAAACATTAAGGATCATAGAAACATATTTTTTACATTTAATCGTGGCAATTCTGAAAAAAGAAAGAAAAATAATATGAATGTAAAAGCTATACAATATTACGATCAGTTTTCAAAGTTTATACATGTACTTTCTAGATAAAATGTATGTACAGTCCAATACACTGTTAATTATGTTTCCTTTTCGTTATGCTTTTACTTTGCACTTCTTTTTCTTCTTCTGTATCTTCTTCATTATTTTGTACAATTTTTAACTTTCCATATTTAGCTTCAAGCTTAGCAATCAATTCTGAGTCATCGAAATTTTCAATTTCACTTTCTTCTTGGTCTTCTTCTTCCTCTTCTTCTTCTTCTCCTTCTTCTTCTTCTTCTTCTTCTTCATCATCTTCTTCTTCTCCTTCAAATTCTATTTTATGTTTTTTACTCTTTTGTTCAATTCCTACTTCGTGTTCAGAGTCATTTTCTTCCTTCCATTCCCACTTTCCACTATCACCTTCTTCTTCGTCTTCTTCTATTTCTTCTTCTTCATCTACTTCATCATCTCCTTCTTCCTCTTCTAACTCTAACTCTTCATCTTCCTCTTCTTCTTTCTCATTATGTTCTTCTTTTTCTCTTTCATTTTCCTTCTTCTCTTGCCTACACACTTGTTTGGATTCTCCTACTTCTGAAATCCTTTGCTTTTCCGCAGGTACATGTTCTTCCTTGTTTTGTTTCTCAGATGAAGTTACCTGAGTTTCATTTGGAACAAACGTAACCTCTAAACATCAAAAAAGTATACCATTAATCAACAATATTTCAATATTTATTTTAGTAATTCTACACAGAAAAATTGGAACATAATGTCAATCAATGATAGATTATTACTACTGCTCAAATTTACCAATTATTTTTTCTTCTCTTGAATGTTACATGAATACAAATCGCATTTTCATATTAATGCGTAAAATGAATTTTAATTACTTAGATTCTGTGTTATTATATATGGAAATATGAACAAGTATATAATATTAAAAAAAATTTAATATTATATATAAATATCTACTAAAAGAATTCAGGTAATTAGTAACAATTACTTAATTTTTTAATTCATAGAATGAAGATGAAAAAAGATTTCTACATAAATATGCTTATGTATAGTTGTTATGATATAACATTGGAAAAACATGACTATCACAAAATTTACCATTGTTCCACCGTTTCACAAGGACAAAATGTGCAGCAACAACAAGTGCCACACCAACTCCAAACTTCATCGCCACTGCAATCATCAAACATTATTCTTTGTTGATGCTTGAAAATCATAGAGAAATATCGCAAATATTTCAGTATTGTTGTGAACATTTCCAGTACTTGTGTTATTTATGTGCTTATATTTTCATAAAGAAATATAAGAGCATGGAGGATCGTTAACATAATTTTATACAAACATTCTAAACATCAATGTCTCTAAGTATTCATGTTTATCACTCACCACTAATAGGTTCTTCTTCAACTTCCTCTTCTTCTTCTTCTTCTTCTTCTTCTGGCTTTTTATCTACATCACTAACATATTCTTCAGGTTCTACACTTTCTACCTAGTAAAAAAAATAGTTAAGAAGTACTATATAATCTAAATAAATATCTGTATAATATCAGTTAGAAAAAAGATACATACTATACTTTAATATATTATATATAAAGCAAATGCAGTATAATTTATAAGTAAAGTAATTTTTACTAAAACAATTTATATAATATCATTATTAAATGTTTCAAAAAATATTACTCCAATAGTGAAACAATTATAATAGTCTTACCTCTTCTAAAGGTTCTATATTGTCATCATTAATTTCATTAATACCAGGAATGTCTACAAATCTTTCGAACACATCCTCATTTATGACTTCTTGAAATTGATTTTCTGTTTCATATAACATACTTTCTTTACTTTCTTCTTTACTAATACCATAAATTTCTTCTAATACATCAGTATCATAAAAATTCTGTGGATTAATATTTTCATCTTCTTCAATATCATTTCTAATGTTTTCATCTTCGTTTTGCTCATCTAATTCTGTGCTAATATATTCTGTTAGAATTAAAATTAATAATAATATCTTCGATTTGTATTTTTGGTTATATTGCAATGTTTTACATCTCAGTACCTTTATCCAGAAAAACTGTACTTTGTTCTTCATCTGATCCATTTTTAGTTGCTTCCTCTTCTTGCTCTTCATACTTATTTATTTCTTCTTCGCTTTCTTCTAAAATTTCTCTATCGTCTTCTTCCATTTCATCTTCAACTTCATTTTCTTCAACTTCATTTTCTTGAGCTTCATTTTCTTCTTCACTTTGATTTTCATCATCTACTTCACCTTCTTCTTCATCATGTTCCTCTTCTTCTTTAGAAGTTTCAGCTTCTGTAGATTCAACATTTTCTTCTTGACTCTCTTCTACTTCATCTTTTTCAATTTCTTTACTTTCTTTGTGTTCTGTCTCCTCATGTGATTCATCATCACGTAAAGATATCGAGTCGTCTACCCACCCATCAAAAATGAAAGCCCAGCGTGATGATTCTAACGGCGTATCAACTTACAACATGAAATATTACATATGATTATTTTGTATCATTAATGATTATACATATATTACAAATATATTTAAATTCACTTACTGTCTGAAGTGCCCCTGTGTTCAAATATAATTACACCAATTAAGCCGACAAGAGCAGCTAATATAACAAAGAATACAATTCGTGCACACCAGTGTCCTCCTGTGATGTTCTCTTTATAAATATGAATAGTAACATTGTCTGTTACATTTTCTGTAGGATTTCCAAAAGTAGGGGCTACTGTGGGACTGTCCTCCTCATCTGATTATGATATAATACATTTACCAATGAATATTGCATAAGTAATTGTGAAAATAGTTCACTCTTATGTTAAGGAAATTGTGTGTATACATACATACAAACATACAAAAATTAATTTCATTCATTCATTGTGTTTATATTTCATTATTATTGTAAATATGAAAACATTACTGAAACATTCTTTTTTGTATTATTTTCATTTACATTTACTATTTCTTGAATATTAGTATTTATTACAATAATTTAAACAATTTTTTAATCTGATACAAAGAAAACATCAGTGCTATTTTCGGAATTAACTTTAGTAAAATATAAATATAAACTGAAACAGCGTTAATGAAATTTTATACAACATTTTTTATATAACAAATTTATTGTTTAATGATAAAAGAATGTGTGTATATATACTTATACGTAGAAAAATGTGTGTATGTATAATATACATTATTTGATAAGATTTTATAAGATATATGTACATATATATGTATATATATATATATACACATATATATGTACATATATGTTATAAATGTTTGTATGCGTAACATTTGTTAAATATTTGCGACGTTCGCTGAATTCATGTTTCTAGAATATTAAATGGAAATACAAAGTTGATAATATGTTTTATTATACATAAGTGTAATTATTATCTCGGAAACGTACATGAAGAATAACAAATGTATGTATAAGCGCAATATGTTTTTGGAATGGATATTATAGAGGTTGTTCTATTTTTGAAAGGCAAAAGCTAGGCTGATCAAGCTTCTAAGACCCTGTATTTTCTAATTTGAGCAACATTGCCAAATATGTCTTAAAATATCCGAAATGTCACTCATCAAATAATATTTTTGCAAAGTTTTTATAAAGAAAATACTTAAGCAAAAACATGTGTTAAAGCTTTACCGAACAATGTATGACGAAATTGTCAAAAAGGTATTTATTTTACATTAAATATCATAAGTTTAATGCGAAATATGCGTAATAATATAATATTTTTTAACAAAAATAAAAGAGGCATATCGATATATTAAAATATCATTTCTAATAACACTGTTCAGATTAGTAAATTAATTTTATACCACCGGGAAAATGGAATAATTGATTTTTTTATATTAAAAAATCAGTTTTCAGATAATTAATATACATTATAAGTATATGAAAATAGTAATAAAGATGATAGAAATATCGAAAAATCTTTCAAACAATGTGCCTGTAACATCTAATAAAATTTACAACTTTATAAAATTGTTTTTCTTATATATAAACATTGTATATCAATTATATAATGATTCACAGTACATATAACAGAAATCATAATTGTCATAAGAGATTAGTATTATTCACGTGTGATTTTTTATTCGGAATAGTAGCGCGTATAAATCGATTTAAAAGGTGAGAAACAATATTTTTTTTAAATGTAAAATATTTAACATGTACCACCAATGCTAAAAATAAAAAAGTAAACATTGCTAAAAATATTACGAATGCAAGAATCGAAGTTAAAATAATTCTCACACTATTTCAGTAGACTGTTTTTACCCTTTTTACGTCTCTTCTCTTTCCGTTTTCTTGTTTGTACATCCCCAGACATCTTCCGTGTGGAAATGTACGTGTACCTTTTCCAAATAAACGAACACAAAGAATTTAAATTTTTAAAACGACCGAACACTGTGCCGCGTCTGCGATAATTTGATTTGTAATGATCTTAACAAGTGTTGACATAATGTGAAAATCCCTAGTGACTTAAATTGAACATTTCCTTCCTCCACGTTCAGTGTTTCCAAAGTTTTTGTTATTTTTGCAAAATCATAAAGATTCATACATAATTATTAAATAATGATTTTTATATAAAATTAGAAACACTTCAAACTGGGGAGGATGAATGGAAATTAAATAAAATTTTCCGAATAAAATATATATTTTTAATATTATCGGCTACAACACAACACAACTCAGGAATTACTAGATAGAAATATAGTGAATAGTAACAGCTTCTCTATTAGAAATTATTTTGGATTTCAAGCAAAGTACACATTATTGGAATATATATATGTTTAAAATAATATGTAAAATAAATATTTTCGAATGATATACGCTTCATAATAAACATTTTATTAACATTCCGAATTACAAAATATAAACTTAAATTCAATGTACTAAGAAATATTTACTGTAGAAAGTATTATGTACAACTTTAAAATACATAGTACGTTTAATACATGACATAGCTCATTTTCGGTTTTAATAAATAATTTACAGAATACAATTACTTATGAAGTTTTAACTCTTCCACATATTTTAAAACACAGTCATATTAAAGATTTTTGCCAAAGGGAAATGAAAACTAACTAAATGAACACAATAAAGAAGAGTACAAAAGTATGATTAAAATAATTAATTATTAGTATAGTTCAACATATATGTATCATACCATTTGTAATCTAAAATAGTGTATGTAACTATAGTAAATTATGCAAGAAAAGATTATTGTGTTATGTACAATAAAAATGTATTCAATACAATTTTCAAAACTATTACATGGTTTGAATATTATAATCAGTTTCATCTTAATACAACCAGGATGGAGATTTCAATTTTACAAAAATTATTTACTATGTGGGTCCAAAAGGATTTTTGTGTATAATTGTTCATGATTATTAGTAACATACATCTATATTAATCTTACTATAACCAGATTTGACTATAGAAAGAATTGAAAAATATAAGTCTTTATTTTTAGGATAAGTTTTATATATGTAAAAATTGTTCCGTTTAATTATTTATATAAATAATTCTTGTGCCCTTGTGTCATGTCATGATACTATTATAAATTTTTTTTATAATTGTCAACTTATAATATTCAGATACGTTTTCTATTGCCCTGGATTACAATCATGTTGAAAAATCAAAATATTAATTGTTTTTTAAATTATTTAGTTCTTCTGATATTTTACAATGTATTACAATAAAATTAATATCTATTGTTATTGATTAAATTTGTCAATTGTTACAAAAAACGATTGTGTAGACACATGTCAAACTCTAAAGTCATATACAGTTGCTTCATATTCAAATATAATTTAGTAATCTTATAAATTTGTCAAACTTCAACTAACTAACTTTCTTAATCTTTGTTTTCATCTTGTATCTAAGAAATTAATAAAAAATTTAATTGTAGACCAATTCTCAACAATGTAGAAGTATATAATTGCATATACTGTACAGATAAAATATATAAATTATGTACTACTTATAATATATTATAAACTACATACATTTATGCACTAATTTTGGAGGGATATTTTAGTATGGCTTGCTATCATTAAAAGTACATTACTTTCGAAATATCTAATTATTAATTACTTTATATAATATCTGGAAATTACGGAAATATTACTTTTTTTATTCAAAATAAATATTATAAAATTTATTCAAAAGATTAACATTACTTATTACTATTTTCGAAATTCTGGAAGCATAAATACTTTTACTACTTATAGATTAGATTCTTTTTTGCCTAAGAATTTTTTTAAAATAATTTATGTAATCTTAAATTTTTATTTTATTTTCTTGGAGTTGATTAAGATATGACCTCTATTTGTTTGAGATAAAAAGAACAGCGATTGCAAAAATAATATTAAAGTTTGATTTTACAAAAATATTTTATTAAATAATGAGCAAATACTATTGAGTTTATGTTCTTTAAGAGGAAGGTTGTCATCGTTTGTATCTACAAATACCTATTCAGTATAACGTTAAATGTAGTGTATGAAAGACGAAGTTTTTACTAAATGCCAATTATACGTGTTGCGTGCCTATAAGGGTAAATTATACGAGGCTATCACAATGATGTACAATAATGAATATTTGTTGCAATGAACTATTAATTCTTTACACTTAATAAACAGAATAAAATTTAAATAATATAATTATGTCGAAGTACCAGTCTTAGTTATCTTAATAAGATCAATTATATGTCATACAAATTTCTGGATAAATTATAGATTTTGTTATTGTAAATGTTCATTTTTTTCCAACGCTCTTAAATGTCTCGAATGCTACGAACGATTTATAATTAGATAACATAATAAAAATTTGTATATACGTATTCCTATCTACAAATTTTTCATGAGAAGTTATAAGTCATCAACGTAAACGCATCTTAAAAGGAATTTTAGGCACTTGTTTCAATTCGGAGTGAAAATATTTTCACAAAGATAAATGCAGTAAAAGATCATACTTTCATCTCAGATTATGTAAGACTTGAGAAATTATGAAAAAAAAGCAAGACACAATGAGATGTATAAATTAGTTCATGTACCATAGAATTTAACACATTTGATGTACTTTCATCACTGGAAAATTGAAAAAGATTGCTATATTTAAATATATTCAAAGTTTTTATACACATTTGTCCTGTTAAAATTATGTATAAATATGAAAACAAATTTGAAAATCGTGGTTATAGTAGTTTTTATAATGCCACTATATGTACATATTAAAATTTTAATTTTATTTGCACGACTGGTATAGCACATTTGTGGTGTTTAATTTGACAATGTAAAAATTATCACGACCAATGTTACATTTTTCTACCTTCAAGTACTATCGTTAATATACATTATGTTTTTGATTGTTATTTACAAGGACCTAGCGATAAGTCACCTATGAATAGTACTATTCACTAACAGCATATCATCAAGTACAAAATGCTATAATTTGATGAAATTATGAAGCGATAATTTAATTAATATGTTATACATTAAAAATTTATGTGCCATTATGCACATTGTGCATAATTTAATTTCCTTATTAATGAGATTACAAATTCAGATTATTAATAATTTAGTTTACTATTACATTTATGCACATGTACCTCGAACATCTCAAAATAAGATATAAATAAATAAATAGAAGATATCTTCATTGACACAAAATATTATATTATGTGCAGCATAATAATGCAAATCAAGAAGCATGCATACTTGTATGTATATACTTCCTGAAATATTGCTCACAACATGTTTTTTAACAAATTGTATGTTATAAGATAGAATTTATGCAATCCAAAACTAGTCAATTTGATAAAGACATGTGCATATAAATAGAAAATATGACTCCTTATAAAAGGAGAGTCAACAGTATACTAAACAAAAACAATTAAACAGTATGCTTAATCTTATAAATAAAAAAATTTGTAGGTATTTCAAATGTAAAAGACTGTTCACGCATAAATGGCCATTTTAGGAGATAAAATGTGACAATGAATTTATACCTTTTCTATATCCTCCTGTGTGTTATTTGTTAGTATTTGGACATCAACATTCAATCACCATTTTAACTTTATATTAAAAATTAATTTAACCGTTTATGTTATTCCTGATTATTCTTCGTATAATCTTAAAAGTAATTCCCTTATTTCATTAAAATTAATCACAAGCTATGTTAATAAGATAATTATTATGCAACATTATTGTATAGTTATATGACGTAGCATCTAATATGTATAATATAATAATATTATTGCTTGTGATAATATGCGTTATATACAGTCTTGGAATGTATAACGGAACTGAAACAACATGTAAGTATAGTTTCACTTAAAAGAACTAATGACATTGTAATAAATATAAATTCATTGCCACATTTCTTGCGTTAAACCTAGCACTGCTTGTATAAACAGTTATTTACATTTTAAATAATCTGAGACATGATGCGTGTATATCCATATACCACAGATATACTATACATAATTGTAAAAAATACAATTTCAAATATAATTCGAATGAATTTGAATTTACATCCTTGTTAAAATACAAGTAATGTAAACATATGAGAAAGTTTCTTGAAAAGAATTTTAGGAACGTATTATTCTTATTTTCAGATTTCAAATGAATTATTAATTGGCATGCTCATTTAAAGAACATACTATTATGCATTAATCTTTTAATCTTGTCACTATATATTCAATTAATATCTCACTATAATCATAATTGTTGGACTTTTTATATATAATGTACAAGACATATATTAACTTCATCATGTGGTCAATACAGTAGAACTGTCCAATCTTCTATTGTTTTCTAAACTTGTAGTTTTCTCAAACTTATCTATTCTTAACGTATTATGTAAATTATGGTCGAATTTTTTGAGATTATTTTGGATACTTTTAATAGTATCAGTATTATTTTCATATCGCCGTAATAAATTGTTTTCATTTTCATACCTACGATGTATCGAATCAGAATCTAAATATTTTCTAAATGTTTCATCGTATCGTCGATCCTCTATTCGTCTTGAAAATCCACTTTCATAACAGTGATCCGTTTCTATGTAATGTTGATTTAAATTATCCATTTCATAAGCATACTTCGTTAACTGACTCTCGAATCCAGCTCTCGCAGCTAAATGGAGGTAATTGTCGTCACCAATCGGAGCTTGCCTAAAATCACAATAACAATATTATAATTATGTACACAGATCGAGATTAAGAACGGGGATCACATAAAGGTAGTTCTTAAGGTAATGGAAAGCTATATACTTTTTTGCATACAATAGTTAATACGCTGAAGACTGTTTGACCTGAATTTGTATACAAATCCATGGTACCTATATCTACAAAAGAATGGATACAAAGAAAATCATCACTTTAGTAATAGGTTCTAATTGCCCTTAATTTCTATAATTTGTATATTAGTCTTAAAGATAATTTGTTATTGAAACGTTTCAATATTAAACTATCCAGCCCGAGAATATAGAATTCAAACTAGAATGCATAACTTCCATATGTTTTAACTTACTTGCTTCCATATTTGGTATCGCGAGCCAATCTTCTAAAATGGGCTCTGTGTTCATGCTGTAAAGCATATGCTGCTTCTCTTAATGCAGTTAAAGTTTTAAAACAAGAGGGCACATCTTCTATAGGAGATCCACCACCTGGTATAACACACATGTCACTAGCTCCGTAAACAGCTTGACATTCACATGCACTCATTAATGTTTCAAGCCTCGGCATATTTGTAAATATGAGCGAATGTATTCGTTGTAAATCTCGATCTGGGTCTAGAACCATGCGTAATCCAGCTTCTGTCCCTGGCGATACCTCACTACACCCTGGAGCTACTTCAGCCACTGCTTTGCAACTGTAATCAATATTTATTTGTTAACAATTGAAATATATTTTAGACCTATACAAGTAACGCGTGAGTAACATATGAGATACTGGAAAAAGTTTGTGCGGTTTTCTTGTTAGTAATGAATTGAAGTCCTATTTCAATTAGTATTTCACTAGTTTAACGAATGAAATTATCAAACTATCAAACAAAATAAAATTATTTTATAAAAATGTTTCTCCAGTTTTCACACGAACATTTTCCAGTATCTAATATTTACTGATGTGATACAAGAATAACATACCAAAGCCAATGACCATTAATATACGCACTGGGATGGTACTTTTCTAAACGATTATTATTTGTACGACAAATTTTTGTTAAAATATCAATCCATTCCTTTTCTTCCACACAGTTTCCAGCTTGGACGTACAACGCCCTTTGCGACTGAATGATTTGAAACATATTTTTCATTTTAAAAGAATTTTCTTGGAGCCTTTCAACGGCTAGAATTTCTTCAAGTGGTATTTTACATAAAGGTTCTTTACCTAATAAATAATTTACTATATATAAATCCCTATTAAAATCTTATCATGTATTAACGTAAGGTGTTATTTTTGTAGTTATTTGTATTTACCTTTCGTTTTAGAATAAGTCAAGTCTTGAGTAGTGAGTCTAAAATATCTTTGTTTAAAATTTTTTCGCCCAAACCTTTTCCTCCCCTGTGCTCTTTTAATCATTACTCTGTAATTAAATAAAAAAAATTATATACTCGTATCCCTATAAGAGCTGTACAATTTAATGTAGCAATCGTTAAGTGTCACTACAAACCTTTTATCACGGTCAGCAGTATGCATGAAGAGAAAATATATTCTATTAGGAATATTTTCTATTAATAATACTTATACACATGTATCAGTAATGTTATGAAATATAATATTAAAAATTCATTTCACTGAAAGTAATATCTGACAACACAAGATGCAAAATTTACAGACTATTTCGCTTAAAATATTGTTAATGTCATAAAAATAGCAGGTACAAAAATTAATACAAGGGAGTAAAAAAAATCTCGAGTTAATAAATTTTAATGTAATTAATATACATACCCCTCTTTTAGCACAACTGGTTGTTCTAGTTGGGTACTTGGTCGTTGTTTTGCATTTCCACTGTTACTACTCGTCGATATTAGTTCCAGAAATTGTTTGACTGCTTGTATATGTTTTTCCGTATAAAATTCCCTACAAAAATAATCTATGAATAATACATGAAGTCTGTATATTCATAAATTAAATTGTAAAATAATTTTATCTCTGTATACCTATACACACATTCCATGTATTCTTCTTTACAAACACTACCTGCTCCTCCTCTACAACTTACTAGGTTTCCTAGACTTTGAATCGTTTTCGAAATTAATGTCAATGTCCTATTGGTTTGAGAATCCTGAAATACAAATAGAATGAAAATAGTACTATTATTTCAAAATATGTTATAAGACTTTTAATAATAATGGATACTCTCTTACAATTTGCTCAGTTGTAATATCAAATAATCTTGGACCCAATATCGCGGGAGCAAAAAATCGAAGAAAAATGAAGCCGCTGATCACTGAATATCTCACTTCCTTATTTTTTGGAAAATGCGTTGTTGCAAGTTCTCTTAAGCACCAAAACATTTCACACATTAAAGGCGGACATCGTACGCCCGATGTTGTAATAGCAGTGAAAACTCTTTCAACATATTCCTATTAACCAATACAGTATGATATATGAGTCAATATAGATTGACAATTATTAAAAGTAATGTACATGAATTTTAATTTGAAATACCTTTAGATTTGCTAGATTAGTTTGAATTGTATTTGCATCCTTTACTCTAGTCGGATCTATTTCACATGGTTTTTTTTCTAGGAAGACTTGTTCCATGGCTGGTCTAAGTGTACTATGTAGATAATGAAGGCCTGCTAATCTCATACCTTCATCCATCATTTTACTTACTAATGTATTACCACGGAATATCGTTGTTGGATCGCTATTTGAAAGAAGCATATTTTTTAGCATACAACATTATAGTACATACTATGCAGTTATTATTGTATTACGAATATTATTCTTATATATATGAAAATATAATGTATTCACACTTACGTTAATTTGGAAATTTCATGACTAGCTAAAGCTTGCATTACAGAAACCAATTGTCCATGATGTACTAATACTCTGACCAATGGTTGTGCAGCTTCCATTTTACTCGCCACAATTTCTCCCAAAATATAAACAGCAGATGATGTTACCGGTTGAATATTAACACTTTGTAATAACAAGTTTCTAAGTCTATCATACATTGCCGATGGAAAAACATGATCTGCTGTATAATGTATTTTTAATCTCAGAGATCCTAAACCTGGCAGTACACCAGTCGGTGTAGAAGTGCTGGAAATTTTACTTGGGCGATGTTTTGCTGCTCTAGGTTGCAAGAAGTACCTATTAACAACAGAAAAATTACTAATGATATTGTTAGCATCCCTTACTGAGGGATAATTATTTTACAATACTTCATAGATCTATTATATTAAATAAAAGTGTAATAAGTACCATGCAGTTGTTGTACTAGTTGGTTGCTTTTGTAGGCCTCTCAATGTAACTCTAACTTCACCGAGAAAAGCTGGTTGTTCTCCCATACCAGGAGATGCATGCCATAAACCTACAACTACTTCACCTACTTCTCCACTTTCAATAGGGTAATGAGAAACATCCTTCTCTTTGGATTCTGGTATTTCTGGCTATGGATAAAATTAAAAGAAACTAATTAAACAAATATAACACACAGGTGAAACCAAGTTCGTGAAGTGTTAAAGTATAACAGGATATATGAATTTCATATAAATTACATAGTTAACATAAAGAATTGACAACAATTTACCTCGAATACAAATGTTTCATTAAAATACGGGGTCACTGTTTTCTTCTTAGTTTTTGTGCGTTTTATAATTTGTTTACCATTACTATAGATGACCATAACAGTTGCGTATGGATCACAGCCTCCATTTTTAACAGTTAATTCACTACATTCTATTACTCTACAAAAATAATCATAAATACATACAAAATATGTATTAATAACTACGAATTGCATATTTCTTATTAAAATAAAACAACTAGAACAAATGAGATTTTACAAGATAGTCAAAGGAAAATATTACTGATGTAAATTGCATTGATTTCAAATTTTAAATTTTAATTATGTCTTTAAATATAACAAATTCATACATCTAAAGATATAACGCTTTGATATTGAATTTGAATTAAGTTGTTTATTATACCTCACTGTAAGTTTAGATTGAGCATGTCCGATTTGAGGTTGGAGAGCAAGTTCCAGATGTGCTTTGCCTTGAACTTCAGAGTCAGCATCAACTGGCCTCAAAGGGAACCAATGTTCCTTATTATGATACGTTGCTAAATCTTCTCTCTTTATTGCAACTTTACCCAATATTTTATCTTGTTTCAAATGTCTATCTCGATCATAAACATAAATGCCAAGATAACGAAATTTCCTAGGTACTTCAAATTGGAATTCCTCTCCGAAAAAGGGGCTGTATTAAATATTCTTTTGTAAATACTCCTTTCTCCACAAAATTTTCTAGAGTACTGTAGGTTATAATGAAGATATAAACGGATCTTACTTGAGAGTTCTTTCCATTGTTGTTGTCCTAAATATTTCCTCTTGATCAAGGGACAATGCACAATACACATCTCTTGCACCTGGAGATCCATGACTTCTACTCTGCAGATTTTTTACTTCACCTGAATATAAATATGCATCCTTTATATTTTTGCGAATGAAAACAAGTGATTTACATGCTTCAATGAAAAATAGGGAGATGTTACCGTTTCTTCAAAATAATAACTTCCTAATATTACAAAACTTCAATTCACATTTCAATACATACATGATTAATAGATTTGTTGACATGTAACATATAAAGGCAACAAACAGTATTTAAAACCATATAAAAATTATTTTTCCCTCTAATAATAACACTTTACAGAAAACAGAACAAAATCAAGAAATCATTAGCCATGTAATACAATGAAAATGATCACAGTGTCATTCTCACTGTAATTCGGTAAATAAACAGTAAATTTCGTATAAATATTTTCCCGAGATACATGAGAAGATTTCAATAAACCACGTTCCCTGTCCTCTCTCGTTCTCGTTTGCAACGTTAACAATAATTGAAACCATGTCACAGGCGAAGAGTAACAAGACATTTTCCATGAAAATATTAAAGTAAACACAAAAGTTGCTGCCTATAATAAACGCACCGAACAGTCCTTCTGTTTAACGAATGTTAACGTATCGTTATCGCGTTAAATGAAACCAGCGTTGTTAACATTATTTAACGCTAACTATCAAAAAAAGACGTGTTCCGTGTAGGGACAATAATGCGTGGGAGTCGAAAATGTATGCGTACGCGTTTACGATCATTAAAATTTAAAAAAACCACCACTATACTGTAACTGTACAACGGATTCGTTGATCGCGCGGAAGGAACCGTAAAATGAATCGTGGATTGACGCAAGAAAAGGGCCAACGATGCTTTTCGTTTAGGTAGTAAAGTTGAATAATCGTAGGAGACAAATTAGGTGACATCCCGAGCGAACAGTAGCACGCGAGCACGAATATATCAGGCTTTTTGAAACAACGAAATTCTCGGGGTCGAGACACAGCGTACACCTCGGTCAACTTTCACATTCTCGTTAAACGATATTTCTGACGGGTCTGCGTACCAATTTTAATTTTTAATCTTTCTTCAACGCGAACTAGGCGCGTCTCCTCGGCCATGTTAACTCCATGACACTACTGAGTAACTACATGAACAGAATGCAGGCGGTTCGTTCATTCTGTGAATGGATTCTAGTCAGTGCTGTGCTCCGCCGTTCGGGCGCCCGTCCTACATTTATTTATGAATCAAAAGCTTTCAATAAATTTTCAATTTCCTCGGCAACCTATTATTTCGAAACGACGCACGCGAAATCGTGAACAGAATTGAATTACGAACACCCATGACGCTTATTTCATTCATATTACACTCAAATAACTCTTATTTCTCTGTGATTTAGATACTACAGGAAAATCGAACGATTTAAATGTATATCTGTTTTAATTAAGAAGAAACAATATTTCTTACGTATGATTTTAAAGCTAATTTATTTATATCGTAATTATTCGATAAAGGGTTACCGTTGATCATAAGATAATTAAACAAATATTTTCCACTATAATTAAGCGTGCAATATCAGTTACAAACCCGTCGCAGTTAAAACAAGTCACGAGGAAATACCGAAGAAAAACATCGTACTGTCATTCATAGTTCGGCCGAAAAATTAATGAATGAAGTCATTCAATCAAACGGCAGTTCGTTTTCAGCAAACATAGTCGGCACATTTTTCGTTCGAAATTACTCGAAAGCGACGCAACGCGAGTACATTCAGCGATATCAGCGGGATCGTTACGATAAAATCAATTTGTCTCCATTGATCGCGTTCCCGAGTGAAACGGAACAATAAAGACACAAAACGGACCGATTTCCCTGGAAATTCCATCGAACACCGTTCCGACACATTACGACACATTGTCCACCGGTAATTACCGAAGAGTACTAATCAACGCCTAAGAATTGCTCAATGAGACTTTCAACATCAATGGAAATCACGATCTTCATTCGAATCGTGTCGAATGGTATAATCTAATTATTATTCGACGACTGCCCAAAGAAAATCGCCGGGCCGCTTTTTCATCTGACATTGAAAAGCCAATTAGCACGTTGCGTACCGGTTAATTTTCAGAAAACCGAATTGTGATGGCAATTTTCACTGTCAACTTGTATCACTATACATAGAAAAACTCATGTATCATATTGTTGTGTAATATATTTTAAATAGATAATCAATGAATGAAATTTTATATTTTTTCCGATGCCGAGGTAATTAGCGAAGTCGTACAGCTAAGTTTCTTTATACAAAAACGAGATTGCTCGTTACCGGTACGCGATGTGTTAACGCGTTCACCGCCGTAAGAACTGTAAACGTTGTGTGTATTACTCATTCTTTCATAACGAACGCAGATACTATTACACTAACACATCGAACTGAGTAAACCGAACATTCAATACCTCAATAAAACTAAACCGCTTCGGTTTTACCGGCCCTTTGCGGACGAACGTCGACATTTGATCGAATGTCCATGTTTGGAAAAGTCGCAAATGATTCAATTACTCGGCAAGAGATCAGTATAATCACCTTTCTTTCTATTCAACACGTTGAACGCCATGGGGGTCACCGGTGACCGGAGCTTAAAAATTGCTTAAATACAATTACAATAAGAAAACTGTCGATTAAAAATACTTAACACAAACAGCTGGATGATAGTACAACACGTGTACTATGACACCAAGTCATTAAGAATTATTTCTATCATTTGCCTTTGTTATGAAAGGATATGTATTGTTACAGAAAACGTTCGAAATTCTCGTGGCAGTCAACGTGATAAGCAGTCGATATATAATTTAATTTCATCTGCTGGTTTCGTATATTTCGAAGAATCTTCTAGATTCGATTGAATCATCAGTTCAGTAAACCTCGCAATCGTATTCGAGCAATTCGAAAATTCCAGGGACAATCACCTGTCCCTCAACCAGTTGTGAAATTTAGTTTGAAAAATCTCATTGTCGCGATAAAATAATGAAGATACTCGTTAAACGCAGGCGAAACGCACTTAAAATCTATCCTAACGAAGAAGAATTACATGTTTTCAAAAACTAAGTAATCCATCGTTGAAAGATCATCAAGAATTCCAAGATGACACGTATACTCGTGAAACAGTTAACTGGTCAAGGAAACCTGTTAACACGTTAACCGCCACAAAAATCGTTTTCCCATAGAGTGTCTCTCGTAGCAAAGAAAAGCAGGAACAATTATAATTGTTCGGCGTAGCAACGTTTGCGTTACACTATCAACTCAGTTGCCTCATTAAACATTTTTATTTCACATCGATCTCGTACGTTACGACTGTTCTTTAGTCATTCAGAAGCGTCGGTGACCAGTGACCGACACGGCGCTTAGCCTGTTAAAACCTCAGCCGAACGGTATCAATGGAGATTTTCGTGCGGCAATAAAATCCGCATAGAACGCGGCGCGTCCCGTGAGCGGAAGAAAGATCATGGGGACTCGTGCGTGTCCGGGGAAGCGCGAGCCGTTTCGTTAAATCGCGCAAATCGGTAGCGGGACCGGCGATATTCGGGCACGCCGTGTACCCGGTGTCCGGTCGCGAGTAAAAGCCCGTTGTTCCCTCGCCTTGGCGGAGGCCGAATATTTACGGGGCCGTTTACAGGGTAAAACCATCATCGTTCGCGCCGGTTCCCTCTTCTTCTCGCCTCTCGCGCGGCCGCGAGTCGCGCCGGTGCCGGCTCTTTCGACCCCGGGCCGCTCGTATTCCGTTCTTATCTCAATGTGTTAAGTTCGCCGCTTGTGGAGGAATGGGAGCAAACCTCTACGTTGGAACATGTTAGTTAACGACACTCGTGTAAGTGGTGAGCCACTTCCTCATGGCGCAATGGCCCGCTTCCTCTCCTCTGCGCTTCTCTCTTCGCTCCTCACTCTTTGCGGAGCTCTACAGACCACATCGCCTTCCCCTCTTCCTCCTCCGCCGCCTCCACCTCCTCCGCCTCGTCCTCCCACTATTCCCTCCCCGGTCCCCCTCCTTCCTCTACCCTTGTTCCTTTTTGCCGGTCCCTTCCTCCTCCCCCTTTTGACTTTCCACGCGGCCGCCGTCGCGAAATGCTCGAAAAACGAAAAAGCGAGAAAAGGAAAAAGAGGCGAGTGCGATGGGGAATATACAGTGGAAAAAAGGGGAACAAAGAGGAAGAAACGGAAGAAAAACCGGAGGATCGTTTGCGTGCGTTACGAATAGACCGCACGCACGCACGTACGCACGCACGCGTTCAATAACGTTTTCGAATGAATGAAACGGAAACTTTACTACTGTTTTCGTTTTTTCCCCGTTCGCCGTTTTTGCTCGCCGGCGTCCGACCGAGGAAATATTCCCGTCGATCGCGCCGCTTTTTGCGAGTCTATGGATTTGCATCGGTCGTCTCGGCGTGAATGAGATTGAATGGAACGACGACGGTCGCCGGAGCGAGAGGATGTTTATGCGAATTTCCGTTTTTGCGGGGCGTCCCGGCGGACCTTGTCCGGCGCGATTTTCATTGAAGGCTTTCGATCGCATTGTCCGAGCGGTTGTCGATCGGCTGACGATCCACCGATCGTATCTGCGTTTCGGGGATTATTAATCGATTCGCGTTTCCGTCGGCGAAAACACGTTGCAGCGTTCGTTGCCGCGATTACACGTTAACACGGTCGATTACTTTTATTACATAATTAATGGCGAGAGATACAGCCGCGGCGAAGGATTACACGACGCGCGTCTCTTAAACGGACGCTTATACAATTTCGCGCTATCTCGCCGCGCTTATCCCTTCGATTTCTTTGCCAATAATTGTTTGCGTGCGGCCGCGGAGGAGAGAGAAAGAAAGGGAAGGAAAGTCGATAATTCGCGATAGTACAATGCACAATTCATTCCCGCCCGTTCCCATTGCGGAGCGATTCATGCCCGAAATGATTCCCCGGCGTGGTCTCGCCGAGGCCTCACCGCATAATAAGTTAGAGTTTCGTGAAACTTTCACGCTGTTTCTCACACGAGTGCACGCGCGTGCACTTACACGCTCCTTCCGCCCAGGTAGCGGCGACGCGGCGGCTGCGGCGGCGAGAACAATAGCAATAACGACCAATTACACGAGGAAAAAACGAACATGTCGATTTCCATCGGGGAAACGAAACTCGAAAATTCCTCGCGCCATGGACGGATGATAGAGACGATGATCGATACGAGGCTGACGATCGCTTTTCTATCTCCCGTGCAGCCGAATATCGATGCGCCGCGATGCTGGCCTTGATCCTCTAACGAGCCACACTTTTACATTGAAATGAGCACTTTCATAATCGACGAACGTACGACGTTCGACCGTACGAAAACAAAAGCGAGAATGCATAATTTTATGTTACGAGAACTGAAAATAAATTCAATCACGCGTGGTGCGATGATGATTGATTTTCTTTGGACTTTTCGAAATTCTACTATAAGCACGTTACAGATTTATGTGTAACGATACGAAAATTGCAATTGAGTTACGGGGAATTCAAGTGTAATCCCCGAAACAAATACCTTTCAATTTTCCCCGCAAAAAACTGGCGATCCACCAGTGCGAGATCTGCCGAGCGAATTGGCTATGATGTGGACCTATTACGGCCAATCCAATGACTTGAAAATTTCTCATTAAGTATTCGTGTTACAGCACATAAAGAATGAGTTGGGCAGTCATTATGTTTGCACCACTTCATGGTACGTCATGTCCTTGCTCGATCTTAAATTTTTTGAGTTCAAGGTCAACCCGAGACCGCACTAGTGTAAGTGCGTACCGGTATAGTTGAAATTGTTACGACAAGTTCATTGTACAATTGTTTTTTACGTGCATTGCACTCGTTCGTTTAATCAAACACGTGAACGCGTTGCGTTAATTAAAAAAATAAAATAAATGTTCTCTATTTAGTGTTCATATGTATATACAAATTTCAAATGTAGTTTGCTAATTGGCTAAATTATGTCATTTAAAAGCGACAAGTTTGTTCGATTAATTCGACTGAAAAATAATTTTTCAATTGTCAAGTGTCGGCACTCCCGAGCCTGAAGTGCGCAAGATCGTTTGTTCGATTGTTTAAAAAAAAAGAACTTCTCAGAATGAGAGCAGTTTCACCTTCTTTTGCAGGCCCATAATAAACCGGGTTCTTCTCCTATCCCACCATACACAATGAGCGGAACTTTCTTCCGATTCAGCCTTTGTCACCGTGGTTTGCGGTGTTCTTGATTTTCAGTACCCCTATTTCCGACGTGCTATCGTGTTATTGCGCATTGTGCAGTATTCATTTACACGTCTCTCGTTTTAACTGTAACAATTACTTGCTACATCGTGAATTATCGTTTCATCTTCGAATGAAATGAATAATAAATTATGTATTAACTTTGACTGTCACGGTCACCGACCGAAGCTTTCAAATTACAGGAGAATAATTATGACTTGGAAGATAATTGATTTCGAGTACAAATTTTCTTAATAACTAGATAATAGGGTAATATAAGAATCTTCATATTAAAGAATTAATAATTGAAGCAAGTCATCGAATCAGCCCGAACATATATATTAAGTATCGATCAGCTTCAACAATATATACAGGGACTTTCGAAACTTATGATATTAAATATAATATAACAATAATTATTATACTATATATAATAATATATATATTATATTGTTATTATCTTACTGTATAATATCATCCAATTCTTGCTTCGTATCTTTTATAGAAAGAATAAGTGATAAAGCACTGACTTTCGTGGCAGTCGTGTTAACGAGTCTATTAGTAATTGCTGATAGGAAAACTGTGCAATCTGGATCAGATGTACTTGATCCTAAAGTATCTAAGTTTCGAAATGCCCTGTAAATATTGTTGAAGCTGATCGATACTTTATATGTTCGGGAAATTCAACGACTAATTTGAAGTCCTCAACCATTGGAAGGAACGGTTGCCGACAATTCGGTCGACGACTTGTGCACCTGCATGGCAGGCGCCTCGCTAGAACGAAGATCTTCCTGATAAAAGTGGAACTAAATGAAATGAAGTGAAATAGAATGCGGAAGAACGTTCCCGCGATCTTTAATTCATAAATATATCTTCGGGGAAGCAGGCGTGCGTTTACTTGCGTTTAAGATATTTTATTGCCAACAAAGGAAGCATTATAAAGAAATCCTTCGTTTTTGGTAAAAATAATAGGATTTACATGAAACAATTGAAAGCCCGTGAGAAGGTCTCACAAGGGTGCAACGAGGTCATCACCTTGTTTCGATAATAGTTCGGTGGGAAGTATTACACCAGGGAGTGACTCAAATTCACTTTTGCGAAACTGGCACTCGAACGTTAGCAAAACATTGCTAAGAAACATTGAACAATATTCTCGAGCTACCGGATGGTAATGTACGAAGTATGATTTTGACATTCGTCCTGTTTTCTGTATTTCCGATGTATCATTTGGATATGAAGCATTTTTAAAGATGTCAATAAATTGAGCATATGACATAATAAGTATAAATTAGAAATTAGAAATTAGAAATTAGAAAATTAGAAATTTGTGCACAGGATCGTAAAGGGTTGTTATATAAAATGTTTTGCAACAAATAACTGTGATTGCGAATGATCTAACTGCTATTAACTTACAAAATGTACAATGATAATATTAATAAATAATCGATGCTAATGAGAGTCAAATATTATGAAAACAATGTTTATATACAAATAATATACTTGATAAGTCACGGTTATTAAATACCCTACAAACGTATGTACAAAAATATAGTTTGACAAAATAAAGTAACAACAAACTTACGAATTTCAATTTTTAATCTGTATCTTACATATTTTTATAAATATATGTTTTGTATACATTTCTCATGTTCAGGTGTGTCACGTGTCATTGTTTATCTTTAAATAATTATCATACATTATTCATCTCATAATATTTAAGCTTATATGTACAGTAATTACATCTATACATTTATAAACATTCTTTGCAATATTATACTTACATTAATATCATTATCGTGCTTTAAAATCGAAGAAGTTTTATCAAATGAAAAGGCAGAAATTCAAATGTGTAGATAATGGCGGGAGGGTACGTGCGCGTGCGCTGTAATTTTTACCATAGAATCTCATTTTGTAGATAGGAGTGTCGATTTCCATAGCGTTTCTAACGTCACAGTGGTATGGCGAGGAAATATATTAATGCTTCTGTAATTTCGCGCTACTGAGACTCCCCTACAGTCTCGTTCTTATCTTTTCCACCAGTAGATACAACCCGGAAGTCTTTCAAGAAAAGCAATCAGTGTCATCCAATGAGGACAAAGACGAAACACGTTTAACTACTCTCAAGTGTCTCGCTAAACTTCCAAAACTTCACGAAGCTATGGAGCAATACTTTTTTTGATATATGTGCCATTAGAAAATTTACTGCTATAAATTCATTGATAAATCATCCCCTGATTAAATAATAATTATTATCTAATAATTCTATACATTGTTTTCATATTCAAATATAAATTTAAAATACATCTGACGTAAGAGTTTTCTTACTGTATGAAAAGTATTCCTGTAAATTATTAAAAGAACGTTTCTAAATATATAATCAATATTACACTATTTTTAAATTACATAACGTCATTGTAATGTCATCGCGAATTTCTCGTTGACTAACAAACGTCGTAGTGTTCTAAAATTTGACGCTTGGAATGTTTCTTAAGTTCTGAATTATAATTTGTCACGATATAATGAATAATATATAAAATTATCATCGTACGAAAATTTGAAAAAATGAGTTATGATCGTGTTTTCGAAATTTATGTTATATCAGATAGAGAAAAAAAGAGGGGGTAATGAAAAGACATATAGTAGGTGGAAAGGGAAGGAGTGAGATAGAAATTAATAGAGTGAAGAGCAGAAGAGGGATAGAAGCAAAATGTCTGCGGATCTCGATATGTTTACTAGCAAAGGTTTATGTGTAACGAGAGATGCTTGACATTGCTCAAGAAATGATTGATCAAATGATACTAAAAGTGTGGCGTGATGGCCGTATCTTTTAATCGATATCTTATTTTACCGGAAATTGAGAAAAGTGAATTTAAAGTATCTCAAGAAAACAAACACAAATATACGGATGAGAATACTATCAGAAATTCGCCTAATGAACAGAAAACCTCCGTGACAGCGGCAACTGTTCCCTTGTGTGTCTTGGGTGACGTTCAGTTGCGTTTCCTCTGTCCAGACGACTTGGAAGAAGTACGTGCGCTTTGTCAAGATTGGTTCCCAATTGGTACGAGGTTCTTATAAATTTTTAATTTAATTTTACATTTTTATGTCGTAAACAAAGTGAGCTGTAGGTACTTTTCTGATCACATAATCACTGTTCTCTGGTTCTACGTGTAATATCACTGAATTTCATTAATGTAAGATTTCAGTGGTTTATAAATTTATTTTATTTTAACTCTTTTTGCATTGAAAATATGGTGATTCTGAAAGATTCATATTTCGTTGGGCTAATACATTAGATGTTATATCGAATCAATCATGATAAGAAGTATCATTTGCTAGTAGATAAGAAAGGATGGTAATCACATTAATCATATAAGATATGAGACATACTTTTTATTTTTATCTTGTATTTATAATTGTTCGTTAATTACGTTTTAAATACTTGTTGAATAAGTTTGAATGCACAATATTTTGTTTTTGAAAAGATCTAAGCAATGATCAAACATTTAAATACATTGTGTTCTTTATAATTAACCATGACACTCATCTAAATATTATATGAAAAAGTCCCCTTAAATTATATATTTCTAAAAAAAATGCTTCATAATTTGTAAAGTAAATACAGAAATAGAAAGTTATATTTTGCTTCTAACATAGCTATAAATAATTACTTGCAAATTTATTGAATGTTATATCTATAAAATATTTTTTCGAACATTAAGAATTAAAAGATAAAATTGATATAAAAATAGATATAGAATTTATGTGTGTTAGTTGTTTGTTATTATTATAAACTACTTACTAAGTGTTAATTTATTTTGTCGTAGATTATCCTTATTCGTGGTATGAAGATATAACAAGTTCCTCACGGTTTTATGCACTTGCAGCTGTGTATGGTGGAGTAATAATTGGACTTATTGTTGCGGAGATAAAGCCTTATGCCAAACTGAACTTAGAGGATCGTGGTATTTTGTGTTCAAGCTTAGGAAAAGATTGTTTAGTAGGTTACATTCTTAGTTTAGGGGTGCGTCGCGCATATAGAAGAAATGGAATTGCTTCATTATTGTTGGAACAATTACTTGCACATGTCACTGCTCCAGAACGTTCTTCCGTAAAAGCAGTCTTCCTACATGTATTATCTAGCAATTCACCTGCTATTTTATTTTACCAGAGATGTCATTTTCGATTACATAGTTTTTTACCATACTATTATTCAATTCGTGGGAAATGCAAAGATGGCTTTACATATGTCCTTTATGTTAATGGAGGACATGCACCATGGGGTATCTGGGATTGGTTGCGTTATATAGCGAGTGCAATGGCTAGTCTTGGACCATGCAGAGTTCCACGATGGATTTGGCAGCGGCTTCTTTGGGCTACTACTATTCTTTCATATCAAAGATGATACATTTTGACAACTACCAATGTTAAACCAAATACTTGTTTCTTTTTATATTTTGAAATGTGCACGTATCTGCCAATTGGATGTTTTGCCTATTCGAGTAATAAAACCATTAGCTTCATAATTGTTTTAAACGTCTTATAAATTAAGTAGCTGTAAAAATTATATTAATGCTAAAGTGACAATATTTGAATCAACAAATATGAATTTATACTTGGTTCATAACAATATAACTGTACATTTTTATAGTATTTTATTTATAAGAAATTATAAATATAAAGTTTTATGATTCTTTCACCATGGAACGTATTAAATTATCTATTTCACTATTTAAGATAAATAGACGTAAAACATAAAAACATTAACAACTGCCAGGGCATTTGATCTGTTCAAAATAATTATATCTAAATATTCTTTTGTGCATGACACATAGTATGAAATTTGATATTTGGTTTATTACATTTACAAGCTGATTCATAAGAATAGGTGTAACTGCAGTAACAAATAAGAGAAATAGAAATGATTAAAAAGTTTGTACAAGAATGGAGCCTATCTGATCTAATTCCTATGATTCAAGAATAAGATGAAGTGGGATAAATTTATATATACACTTTCTTTGTTAGTTTTATTTTTTTTAACTCATTCATAGAATTATGTCTATGTATTACAATATGCCCTGCATTAAAATGTTCATAAAGAGTGAAATGTATTTTACAAATCAAATTTAAATATCAGTAACAGGTTACTGTCTCTCTACAAATGATTTTGAGATCACTCTTCCTTAAATTGGTTTTGTCATTGTAATCTACCATTACATAACATTGATGAATGTAACTGTTAATGCAGCTGATTCTAGTGCACAAGTGTCCTTGTTTATTTTTTATCTTATCAATATGACATTACTTTGCTTTTAATATGTGTTCATCTAAGTGCCATTACTTACGCTAAGTTCTTGCACAAAGCTTGAGCGTACCCAGTTGGCAACCACTTTTTACAAAGTAATAGTATTTGAATGTGTTCTAAGGGTAAATTAATTAAATATAAATTACTTTTCAAAACTTTACATATATCATATAGTTAATTTTTGTTTCTTATATTTATTGTTAACTTTGCATTCACTTGACTCATACGTTCTAGACATTTATTAAAAAGTATATTCTGAAATACTTAATATGAAGGTTTCTACATGAAAGTTCCTTGAATTCATCGCTATTGTTTGTTACTGAGACCATGTAATAATCACGGTGATAATATTTAAGACAAGGTGCTAAAATTGACACTTCCATTAAGCTTTTCCCAGTGTATATGCAAGAAAACAGTCATATTTTTTTTAAGTATTGATAACATTTATTAAATACCAGTTTTTCACTCTGTATAATATATCTACTATAATATAATGCATTTAAATTTTCTTTTGCTATTTCTAAAATACTCTCATTTATCCAGAAAATTTATATATTACTTTTGAAATATATGTTGGGATACTTTTAGTTGTAATTATTTTTAATTAATGCTTTTATAAGTATTAAATATTTGAATCAAATGGTATGTTTGTCTTTTTATAATGAATGAATGAAATGTATACTTTAAAAAATTATCTATAATTCGACACTTTTAATACTAAAGTAAATGCCAAATTAATTGGTTTTTTATAGTTGTTTTGGTAACTGTAAGTGACGTTGCAATGTATTTGCTCAAAACTACTTATCCTCATTTCTTGTCATATATGTACAAGAAACAAAAAACCATAATAATATTAAATCCATATTAGTTTCACATAACCAGCAATTTATACATTTACTTTAGATATAATCATTTGAATTTATTTGCTTTCCACAGATAATGAATTTATGTGATCTTTTAAGATTTCAACTGTACTATTAATTTAAAAATTATTTTTTATTTTTGACAAAGATTTTAGCAGTGTTATATTTGTTTAAAAATATATTAGTTTC